TGCTCTTTCCAATCGGTGCTATTCGACCCGACCTCGACCGAGAACCTGCGTAGTTTCTTTGCTATTTCGAAGTCCAATTAATAAATATTCAAAACTCTATTAGGAATAGAAGAAAAGTCACGTACACAAATTTATAGATTCCCACTTGCAGACAGTTAGTGCAACAACTCATATATATTTAGGGTAATGAACTAATACGTAATGGAACTAGACACCGTAATATTATCAATAATATAAAAATAATTTAACGAATGGAATTCATTAATTTATATATTATTCTATAAAGTTAATATGTGTGCATTATAATGCATAAAGTAGTATAATGATATAATGGTATAAGGTAGTATAATGTATAAAGTAAATGCAAAATCAATTTAAATTGTCAATATAAATTAATAAAAATGTGTCCTTTTTGGGAGGATTTTAGTAGTTTGCTGCTCAGTCAAATTAAAACATTTATAATAATATAATCCTTTGTAATTGAACAACAGCAATATAATAAATCGATTTTACAGTTATTTGATAATTGTATATTTGATTGTACCACGCAACAATTATGTAATACATTTTGAGCTTTCCATACACAAGTACCGATGAACTTTTTAGTTATATTGCATATGCCTTTATACTCCGTAATATAAAAGCAATAATGTTTACATGTACACATATAAACCGAGTGAAATATAATATTATTTTAATTGAAGTAAGTCTGTGATCGTCAATTCATTTAAAAACAAATGTGTTTATGTTACATTAACATGTAGTATAGTTATATTCCCTATATTGATAAATTCTAATTAAGATTCATTCGCTATTATGGAATATTGTTTTTTCCATTAGTTAAATATAGCGTAATACAGCAATAATTAAAAAATTCTTAATAAAATTTGTAAAACTAATGTATTTAAATTATTTATTATATATTAAAATAAAAGTTCAGTCAATGATAACGGTATTTATTTAGAATATATCAAGCATTGTTATTCAAGTTAATATCTTTATTTATCCTATATCATGTCACATATATTTAGGAATAATTTAATAAATATATGAAGTTCATAAAATTCCATAGCAATTGTTACAATTACTTTTCATTCTGATAAAATATTATTGAATATATTGTTCATATTATGTAATGAAATTTAAACATAATTTTTTAAATAATTATAATTTCAAATAAATTATTAATATATACTATAGAATAATTATTTAATCGAAATGTCCTTAAAACGAGACTAAAAGAAAATTAAAAAAATTATATATAAGTAAAATACAGGTTTGTAGGTCAATTAAAGATTTAAAAGATTTTTAATACATTAAGTAACGAAAAAATTTTAATTCAGTAATTGTAGTAAAAATTTTATAATTTTATATTCATATTTGAGATTCATAACTTGAAAAAATTATATAGTTGAATTTTTTAAGTTAATTCGTTAAATCAATAAGTATAAATCTGAAATTAAATGCCTCGTAAATTTATGTAAGGGAGAATTCATGGACAAAGCTCTATTAAAGTAAAATTATTTAATCATCAATTTTAATTTTATTTTAATATATTTCGTACTAATATTATACACTTGAGTACCATTTTTTTCTAGGATTTTATTTTCAACGAATAATATGCATTTACTTTTATTTGATTATACTGTACATAGAATTTCAGTATCTTTTAATAATGTAAAACATAGCTAAGGCTATGTACATAAATACGAGAATGAAAACGTAAAGTTTTAATTTCAGTTTACATTCTTGCATTTGAGATTTGAGTGGGTGATACATATAAATTTTTTTACATCAATAATTATTACTAAGGGAAATAAATTAAGTTTTTTTTAAATAGACTATTGTTGCATTTTAAATTTTTCTTTTAAAAGAAATATACTTTTCAAAGCAAATGTACATGAAATGACTAATTCAATTATATATTTTTTTATTTTAGTAATTTTCTACTTCTTTACATGCTTAACGTAAAATGATTGATTATTAAATTTTAATATTTTTTTTTCCACACAACTTCACAAAAGTTATATTTCAAATCTCCTTCTATTTATTTTACATAAAAAAATTTTTTAACATACACTTATAGTCTTAGTTTATATACATAAAGGCGATATTTACAAATATTGCAAAATTCTCTATTAAGATTTATAAAAATATGTACATAAATTGTTTTTAAAATAGTAAATGAAATTATAATTTTAATAATGTTATAACAGTATATATATACGTTCTACCAATATTTAATCGAAAATATATTTTATGAATTCAGGAACTGCAAATGATGCGTTATTAATTGACTAAAATATTTTATATGAAATATTTTATAGATAAAATTCTGAAATTCATATAAATATATACAATTGTTAAATGCATCGTTCTATCGTACGTAATACGTATGGAAGACTTTTTGTTTTTATACTTTACTTTCATCTAAAATTTATCTAAATAACACAAATAATACTTTTAACATATATTAAACATTTTATTAAACTTTAATAAG